AGATCAAGAAGTACATGTATAATGTGTATACGTATGCCAAGAAATGGTTGTTGATATGATCGATCAATTTAAGTACGTACTTCCACGTGTTTTTTATCCATGGGTATATCATTTGGTGTTTGAAATTGAATAAATGTTTTTTTCTTCAATTGGTGAAGTACATATATTTAGAGAGTTATCGAAAAACGGAACATTTGATATACGTTAGAAGCGGAGTGGAGTGAATTGGATTCATATTGAATCCTCCCCGGGTTCATTGTTTCGGGTTTGCTCCAGCTACTCCGGAGTACTTATGTAATAAATTTGATTTGATAAAAGCTATATATAAAATACTTTTATTAATACTCGTATTTCAAAAATAAAAAAGATAAAGAATTTATAATTTATGATTCTAAAAAAACAAGCTTCATACTATAATCATGAATTTATTTACTCAACAATTGTTGTCTTTTTCTCTTTTGCCATAAAAAAACTAACACTAACAATATCCAAATAATATATTTTCGAGTTTGTTTTCATTACCTTGAAGAATCAGCGATTTCGCGTCAGGAATATTCTAAATCACCAGAATCATTAATTCATTTGACTTGACAAAAAACGAATTCATTTTTATGCTGGACTTTTATTCACGAAACTATTTCATTGGCTATTTTTAAAATAGATCATCATTCTAGCTCCGGGTCACTCCATGTAAAGCATGAAGTGGTTTGGGTTTATATAATTATGGCTCCGGAGCGGAGTGAAATTTAGAAATTACATAGTAACCTGGTGTATGTTGCTCCATTTAACACCTATCAATAAATCACATCGAGATCGGACCAATGTTTTACTTGTGAAAAAGATTTTAAGAGAGCATCGCCACATACGCCACGATTTATTCTAGATACTAATACCGATACATAAAGAATCTCTAAAAATAGTAAATGATCATACAAAAAAAACATGCCAAGACATTTATATTTATTTATTGCACAAATATAAAATAGCTGTAACACAGCACACTGACTACATACATGTATAAAGTGGCCGTAGTTTTCTTATGTGTGAAATAAATTGTTGAATTCGAAAATATGCCGTACGGACAATTATCGGTCACTGTTGGTAAATTTTAAAACCAACTCACTTTTTTATGTGGAAACGGGAAATTCATGCGCTAATTTTTTTTTACCCGTTCACAACTTTATGCTAAAAACAGTCGAAGCTAAAAATCTAAAGGATACCGACTTTTTCGGTGAGATTTCCACGATGTTTACTTGCATTTTCAAACTGTCGTAAATTTTTTGCCTTCCGTCAAGAATTCATCTTTGCGTTGTATCTTTATATCCTGCAGATAAGGCGGATCCTTACATAATTTTATCGGTTGATAGACAGAATAAAAAACGAACCAAAACAAAACAAGATGCTGGTAAAAATGCGGCATGGAACGAGACATTTACATTGTACGTGATGATGAATTGAACAATTAAAGTTTTTATTAATAAATAAATTGATGACTTCTCTCTAATTTTAAAAATTTACTTTCCACAGTGAAATTATAGAAGGCCAGAAAGATATGCTTTTAGAAGTGTTTGACGAAGATATCGGGACCGATGATTTAATGGGTAGGGCAAAGAAAATATAATTCTTTAGCTGGTACTTGTATCCGAAACCTTTTGATTTCCGCAAAACATTTTATAAATCAGGAGGTACGATTGTCGATTTACGACCAGTGTTTGCATCTGGTCTCGTTGATCAATGGTTTGCACTTAAACGTAAAAGTGGAAAAGCTGCTGGCGATGTTCGTGTTGTTATGAGATTTACTTCCCAGGTAAGGAATTTTATTAAATATAACAAAGAAATTAATCTCTAACGATTTACTTTGATTAAAAGGGCCCAACTTCGGGACACACACATCCTGCACAAACACCAGGCGGTGCATATCCACAACAACCTCACCTACAACAACCTCACCTACAGCAACCTTATGCTGGATACGGAGTGCCGCCACAAAACCCTATTTATCACGGATTAGGACCACAAGGAGGTGCGATGCCATCTTCATATGGCAGTGGTACTCCACCACCAATTACACCCCCCAGCCATATCGCTTATCCAAGTAGCACTGGTGGATTCCCTGATCCCAGTGCTTATGGTGCCCCATCTCACGATAAACAGTATAGTACTCCACCAGTCCCACAATATGGTGCACCAGCGGTTCCACAATATGGAGGTGCGCCTACCCCTCAATACGGTCAACATGAAACTAAACATGAAACTAAACCGTCAGGTCCTGCATGGGCGGTAAATGTCAAATTTTAAATAATATTCATCATCATTGTAAATGTCCTTAATTGAAATATTTTATCTAAATTTTTCTAGTCGACGGCTGGTATCGCTGCAGGCGCTGCTGCGTTAGGATTCATCGGCGGCAAATTGTACGAGGAACATAAACACAAACCTGGAAAAGGCAAGAAAGACAAAAAACACAAAAAACACAAAAAGAAAGGTGGCAGTGGTAGCGGTAGTAGCGGTAGTAGCGGTAGTAGTAGTAGTGGCAGTGGCAGTGGCAGTGGCAGTGATAGTGATTGACAATGGCAATAATTATTGTTATTACTGTTTTCTGTAATCAGTGCGAAAGAGTGTTCTTAACATTAATTTCCCTATTTAATTTAACCTTCTATATAATATATATCGATATGTATATCTTTGATTAAATTTTACCCTCATACCAAATAGCGATAGCGATAGTAAATGTTTAAATTAAATGCGTGTCAATACCGAATTAACCGTATTAACTTCTAACAAAATTCTATAACGATAATCATGAAACTGCATATGTACTCATCGTCGAAAAAATAAGGTCTGCAATGAATGTTCACTTTTTCAAGCAACACACTTGATTTAATGTTAACGTTAGCGTTAGAATGCGATTTTCGTAAATACGTGTATTAATTCCAAACACGAAACCATTTAAAGTCTGCATAAGAGGATTTGTGCATTGTAACTTTCACCTTGGAAATACACCAATGCGGAATTTTGCTCAAATTGCTGATTTTGTTGTTACCGGCCAAGCTATTTAGTCTAAAAGTGCTACAGGGAAAGCCAACAGTAGATATTTATAGTTGTGGTGATTGTAATAGGTGAACAGCTATTCGGTCATGATATACACTGGAAGAAAATATCCGAATGCAGTTTTTTATGCTTACACAATCCGAAAAAGTTTATATTAGTACGTGCATGCTCTGGAATATATTTAGTGACCATCCTCTTCCAAAGCAATTTCCAACTCTGCGGCATTTTTGGGCTGTTTTTTACAATTTTAAAAGTCTTTCGATTCACAGCAAGAAATGTTCTCAATTGGATAACGATAAGAAAAGAAACCCAATTGAGAACATTTCTTGCTGTGAATTCAAAAGACTTTTAAAACTGTAGAAAACAGCCCAAAAATGCTGCAGAGTTGGAACTTGCTTTGGAAGAGGAATGGTCACTAAATATATCCCAATTTAATTGAGCGCATGCTAAAAAGACTTGAAGCATCATCTTTAAAACTTTAAAAGATCGGTAAAGTTGATTTTGATTGCGCTTACTTGGCACTTCAAAATTTACATATAGCGATAGATTCGCAAAAGCCTAACACTGGATTTTGTGTAGGTCTAGTAATTTTATTTTTGATTGGACCTATAGAAAGTGTGCATTTTGTATGCGACATATACCGAATTCCAAAAAACAGGCAAACAGCGAATACTTTGCATTTTCAGTACTACAACTCTAGAATACCCTAAATTAGAAAAGCGGTAGGTGAACTTGATGAGGAGAAAAAATGCATTCGAATCTTTAAACAATTAATTTCAATGTAGGTACTTTTGAAATTTCATGTTCAAAACGAAGGTAAAATCGCTTGTTATATTATTTTTCAGAACACACTGTATCAGCAAATGCACTCTTCATTTAATCGTTTAGTTTTACGGCATTCTAATGATTTGATCTAACCTGTCCTGTATGTATGCGTGTTAACCATACAAGTAAAAGACAATTATTATAAAACACGAGTTAATGAGAGACATACACAAGTTCTGATTTAGGAAAACAATTAGTAAACTACACACTTCATTTAGCATATATCGATATGACGTTAACAAATAGACAATGCGTATTATACAATATGCAAAAAGCACATGTTGGTTTGTTTATTCTATTTAGTTAATAATAATATAATAATATAATAATGTAATTAATCTGTTTGTCTATTATTCTATTCTATTAGAACAAGGAAAATGAAATGATTAATGAAACAATTCCAACCAAATAACTACTTCTTACGCCACCAAAAGGAGCAGCAGCAGCACTATTTGCAGTTGAATTAGAAGCCAAATTCGAAGGTACTGATATGTTACCATCAGAAGTAACATTCAACTTTGATGTTGATCCATCTAAAAATGACTCGCCACATTTATTGGCCAAAGCATCTTTGACAGCAGGTTCTTGATTACTAAACGACGAGAACAATGGATTTTTCAATAAATCCGTATAATTTTTCTCGAAACCTAAGAGTATTGTCAAAAGACCCTTATTACAATTTGTGCACAGCGTTTCACTGGGGATATTGTTTAGAACATCTGACACATTCCGATAATTTGTTGAATTTGTTGAATTTGCTGTTTTTGTGTAGTTTAAAATCGCGTTCTTAGTTTCAATCACACAGAAACCGTCACCGGTCGAATTTTTTAAACATAATGCATCACGATATGGCGAATAAACCGAAATGAATCCTTGTACAGCACTCGCGATCGTATTTTTACTTGCAAGGTCACCAGCACATCCGGTGTTGAATTTTGTCAGTGTGTCGTTTATAATTTTCGCGTTACATTTTGGCAGTGAACAAAGGCTGTTGACTTGTGATACGTATGGATCTTCTGTTGAATTTTTTCCACCAGGGAATATGTATGATGATGCAAATGTAAGGAAAGGAAAACATGCGGATAGCTCTTTGTCGCCGATAAATGATTCAACGGTTTTTTGACAATTTTGGCTTATGTTAATTCCCATTCCGAACAGACCACCGCTTTGTGCTGAACTCAAGTTTATCAATAAACTTGCAAACACAACGGTGGATTTAAAGATGTTTGATGATTTCATTTTTGATAGATTGGATAGAGATAAAGAGAGAAAATGTATAAAGTGATTTATAAAACGAAAATCAATTTCGCTTTATTAAAAATATTCTTTAAGATAAAAAGGTTTAAATTTATTGTTGCCGTGTTGTTAAATGATTGAAAACACGCTTCTCCTTTTATAATAAAAAATTCCATTACGATTAGAAATGTAGCACATTATTGTCTATACATATACATGTAGTCGACCATTTACATGTATTTGTTGCCCATTTTGGTGTTCGGCCTTGTAACACATATACTCACTTGTACATATATTTTCGGGTATAAAGTGGTGTGTGCGCCACAAAATATGTAACGGTAAAAGTTAGCCGTTTTTGGAAATTAACAAACGCGCGTATCCAAAGGCACTCTCGAACGGGCACAGACCTCGAAATTGCTATGTTTCTGTAAAATCCTGGTTCCTTCTAACGCGATTCTACTTTATGGTCGTTATACCAAGAGTTCGTTACTTGCCTGTGTATTGCATAAATACGATAAACAATAAAAATTATTCTACAACGCCCCTTAGTATAACGACATCGCGTAATAAGGAACCAGGATTTTACAGAAACATAGTAACTATTAAAAATTCGAGAGTGCCTTTGCATTTTGTTAGACAATAATGCCGATACGTATAAGAGAAGCAACACATGAAAAAACGTCAAATTGCATTTATGCAATAATTTATCTGTTATCTTTTTCATGTGAAAATAATATTTCACAATGTCTTTTTAGACTTTTTTGCATTTAAAAATATTCCATAAAAAATTGGTTTGCGATATTTTGGATCAACTCCGCATTTTTTTAATGCAATCATACCTCCATATAATCACACACTTTTAAATGAAATTCATAGTGCAAGTTTCAAATATGCATTAAGAGAAATATACGTAATTGTATACGTACGTATAGAATAACAATTGTAATACATTTATACTTCTCTTAATGCATACTTTTGAAACTGGCAATATAAAATTCATTTAAAAGTGTGTGATTATATGTAAGACTGTA